CACACACACACACACACACACACACACACACACCTCGTTAAACTGTCATTCAGAGGTTGTTCAGCTGTCATAGGATGTTATGGGAGACAACTTCTCTCTGTCTCTCACTCTCTCAAGAGTGAAATTCTCTCCGTCAAACCTTTGTATGATGATATTCTACAGCCACAAATATACCATAAATAAATATACTATATAATATTTAAAAATCAAAACAAGCAAGTAGACAATCCTCCAAAAATTCACCCAGATGTGTTTACATCATTGCTTTGTCCACACAAAATTTTACAAAACAAACTTTTTCCTCATGTCTGTGCCGCTCGTCCACACGCAAACAGAGTGGAAGTCACTAAAACTGAGATTTTTAGAAAGGCTTTCAAAAGTGCAGGCTTTTTTTTTTTTAACTCTGGTGTCTGTGTATCTGTGTGTGGATGTAAAATGGAGCATCGGGGAAATGATGACACCATGTTGTTTGTGTACATCATAGCACAAAGGTTTTGCATCAGGCGATGAAGTAAAAATGATGCGCTACTATTGTTTTGGCTTGTGGGTAATTATATCCTCAAAGCATGCTCACACTGTTCTCTGGTATTTTACAAATCGGTGTAGTGCCATATTGCCGGCTAAACTCCAGTAGTAGCTATGTCCTCGGCCTCTCTGTGGTTTTCTGTCTCTTGTTACCAGTGAATCAGCAAACGCTTTGTCTCTTTGTTTCCCGGTTCTTCATTCTAGCCAACAATCTGCCTCCGCCTGATCACCATCCAACCTCAAGTTATAAAATAAAATCAACTCTGACCTTCACCTGTGAGTCTGTGTCTGCCAAACCAAAATATAACAGTTAATGCATCAAAAGTCAATTTTATCACATATTCCCCTCATACAAAACAATCCCTTCAAACTGGCAAAAATTTGAAGCCTCGTTTTTGATCGGTAAATCATCAATATCATTGCCTTTACCTACCAATCACCCCTGTCAGCAGTGGGTCTCTCTCATGTCTGTCCTAAAGCAAGCAACGCTATAAACCCATTATATTCATATTGCTTTATGGAAATATAAATCAGCAGCAGCAGTGGTCCCCAGTGGGGCGAGTGGCATCTATAAAATGTGTGCTTGAACAAGGCAGCCATGAATGGTGTCATAAAGAGTGTCTCAGTATAAGGAGCCCCCAGGGTTTAGCCATGCATTGCCACAGTTTTTTTTCCCAAACTGGAAAATCTCGATAAAATGCTCTGCAGTTACTGGAACCTACTGTACCGAGGTGTTATCTGCATGACAACATGAGTTTAAAATATAGACTGTATATTATTTTTTAAAAAGTGGCCCTAATACTTTGTTATAGTTATACACCTCAAATTGTGTGTGTGTGTGTGTGTATAAGTAAAGGCTAAATGGTTTTTTTGACAGCTTACTGGGTGGGAGTCATTTATGACTGCTTAGAGTAGAAAGAATAACCCGACTCTTGTAGAGGCCATTCATCCATAACCGCCTGAAAACTAAGATGCTAATTCTCAGAGTGAATGCATAATAATTCAATGAGGTAAAGATAGTTAGAGGGCAATGATGAATAAATACATATGTGTCTTTTAATAAAACCGGGATGGTATTAGAGGGATGGAGGAATGACACTTTCTGTTAAGAGATGATTGAAATATGACTCACCTGTTAGCTTTCCATCCAACTGAGGCAGCAGGAGGTACCATCAAAAAGAGGAGCAATGCCAGACTGTATTTAAAGATGAACGACATGCCTCCACTTCCACTTCCTCCCACTATCGAGAAATTAGGCTAAAATATTCTGCATACCAAAGCAGCCATCTTGCCTTAAAGATGTTATTTGGAGCCAGAGCCTGAGCTCTAGCTATCGGGAATGGATATACAGTATAAGGTCCCGCCGATACACTCACTCAACTGATCACGCGTCAGTCGTCACAACGTTACACCCCATTTTTTTATAGCATCAAAGAACTTATTTAAAACCATATGTGGTATGTAGTGGACATTTATTGTGTATGTATGTCAGCTGGACCGTTCTCACTCTATTCAACCATGAACATGATACAAGCTGATTGCTCCGGCTAAAGTAATCGTACCAGTTGTTCAGGTTTCCACAACAGATAACAAGTACCTAAAATGATGAAAGCCATCTTTAAGAAAAAAAGTGAGCTTTGAGTTTTTAGTTTGGTCTATATTTCATCTGCTAACATGCAGGAGGCCGGTTACTACTGATTGAATTGCTTTGGTTACACATTTGGGAAGCAGGCCCATCGTTATATACACAGTCTGTCGTCTAATAGATGAACTGACTCGGACAATTACCCTCTCAGTGACAAAGTGGGAGAGCACTTCTCTTTAGTCACCATTTGTCCCTGGCTTCTTTTAACCACATCACACAGTCCACTCATTAGTTTCTACACATGTCCAATGTATTAGAATTTATCATTGCCTTTGTAAAGTTTGTAAAGTATTACTATCCCAGGTTTGTTTGTGTCAGCAATGTCACAGTTCAAAATACATGAGCATATACTGTATTATTATTAATATTGTGAGGCAAGGGTAATTAATTTAGTCTCCTCATTCTGAGCAGTGTCGAGAGATTTTCAGCCTTCCCTGGCTCATTCAGCTTGTTGCTGCTGGCCGTTGCAAGCTGTTCATGTGCTGGGCAGGTCTGTTGTAGTTCTATGATACTTGTTTCCTCATAGTTTGAGGAATTAATTTTTGGAAGTTCAGGCTTGAAAAGTCTGCGCAGTGGCTGCTTGGTATTAGCAGAGGGAATCCTAAGGGCAACTGCACCAAATTTGGGACCAGCCTGGGTAGGCTGCGACATTGCAGCCCTCTTCTCCTTCTTCTTACACTGCTTGGCCAGTTTAGCCTCCTTTGTCAATCTCCAATCCTCCCACAGGGCTGCGACAGCAGACTCCTCCTCCTTTTCGCCTATCTCTTTGTCCCAGCAAATCTCCTCGGGTGTCTGCGGCCTCTCATTGATGTCTTTGGTGTTGTCCTCTTCCAAAATCATGGATCTTGACAGCAACTTTCGTCCAGTCCTCTTCTTGACATTACTCATCATCCTTTTCAGACACTTTTCCTTTGTTTCCTTTTCTCTTATCCTCTGATTATTCAGGTTTTCCTCAATGTTCTTTTTGACCCTGTCAGCGTTGATGAGCCTCCTCAGTCTCTTCAATGTATCTTGAGGGAGGCTGTCAAGTTGATCGAGCAGTGACAAAACATGGCACTCAATTTTACATAGCATTGCAGTGGTGTTGAAGCCATGAATCCCACCAATGCAGGACTCATACACTTCTTTCACCTTCCTGCTAAGAGCATCCCACTCTATATTGTCCTGGCCCAAAGGTAAACACGGAGTGAATGCAACCAGACGCTTGAGTGTGGAAAGTCTCCCCTCTACTTTGTTGATCATATCCTGCATTTTGGTCAACTCCAAATCCTCTTTGTGATAATTTCCTTTCTCTTTCATTTTCTTCAGATTTGTCTGGCATTCATCCAGTGTTTCCTTCCTTTTATCTGTGGCATTGAAGTTGGCCAGATTCTGCTCTGACAGATTCTTGACCAGTTCCATTAGCTCTTCAGAGACATTTACCTCCATCCTCTCCTTACTGTTGCTGTGTGTCAGGGACAGGATGAAAGCCTCTTTGTGCATCAAAGATGCCATCTTGAACAAAATGTCTTTGAATCTTTTACATTTGTCCAGATGTGTGTCTCTCTCTGTTACTTCCCTTTCAATTTCCCTCATTTCAGTAGTTGACATGCTAACGGCATGAGAATTCTCCTGATTGTGCTTCGTCTCTTCTGCAAGAATGCTGTTGGCATCCGTTAATTGTAATTTCATCAAATTGAGGGACATTTCATAGAAGGCCTTTTCTTTCTCCCTGAGATCCTCAAGCTGAATGATATGTCGCTCCTTTGCTGCAATGGCCTCATCCAGCTCCACTATTTTGGAATCACTATCCTCCACATTCTTGGCATACTGTGCTGTTTTCATCAAATAGGATTTTGTGTCCTCAAGTATGGCACGCTTGAGCAAATCTACTTTATTTGCAGACATCTTGAGGTCGGGGTTCACTCCACAATACACTGTAAGAATGTTTTCAACTTTCCTCAATTTGTTGGCGGGTGGCAACCAACATCAAAGTGCATGATTTCCATGAACATATTTTCTAAATTGCTTTGAGATATTAAACATATTGGAGGGCCCTTATGGCGTGATGCCTTTGATGCTATACAAAACTGTGCTTTGACACTGAGCACTTACGCCTTTAATAAAGTAAGCTACTGTGATGTCGACCGTGGAGTGGACGGAGCAAGTGCTACGTGCTAGCCATCCCGCCAACCTCCTCTTCTTCTTTGCACGAAACTGTTTCTCTGGAAAAGCTATCAAATATCAATAGTAATAAGAGATACCTAACTGAATGGGAGAGAAGAAGGGGAAGAAGGATTATTGAAACACACAGTGGATTGTGGTAATGCACCTTGATGATGTTGGTTGCCACCGGCCAATAAGCTGAGTAAAGAAAATGAAAGAACTGAGCATTCTGAGGAAGTTTGAAGAAGAAGCAGTAGATGGCAATAATGCACCTTGACGCTGGTTGCCACCCACCAATACAAAAGAAGAAGAAAAAGGGTCATTACCGTAAAAATTGGGGAAATTACCTTGACAATGGAAGACAATCAGCAGAGTTGACGACAACATCACGGGTTAATTTCAACATCTATTATCTATAGATATTCAATGTTACGGTTCTTTGTTTGGTTTATTGGCTGGTGGCAACCAACGTCAAGGTGCATTACTGCCATCTACTGTGTTGGAGTGTGAATCACTTATCCAGGACGAGAACATACTACAATCTTTTTCAGATAATGGAGAAAACTCCCTATACCAATGGAAAATGCTATTTCAAAAACTCAGTTCTTCCACTCCATGCTTTGCAATTGTCCTCTTTAGCCTTTCTTGTTCCCCAACATAACATTACATGCTCCAGTGATTCCTCTATTTGGCAGTTATCACATAATCCTGTTGGATGTCTGTTTATTCAGTGCAGTGTATTACTCAGTCTAGTATGTAGTCTAGTATGTCCTATTCTCAAGATATTCTCCTCTACGGTGATCCTTTTTGCTGTCCTCACTGTGTTCAGGTCCCGGTGTAATTCATAAAGATGTCTCCCTGTGTGTGAATGTTGTGATTCCTCTTCTTTGTTTGGTTTATTGGCGGGTGGCAACCAGCATCAAGGTGCATTACCACCATCTACTGTGTTGGTACACAATTCCTGAAGGTACTAGGGGAGTAAGCTCTCCCTGTTCCAAAAATCAATTAAAATTGATAAATCGTCTTTTTTGTTGGGTTTATAAGTGGGTGGCATCCAACTTCTTCTGCTAACGACAAAACATCGAAGTAAAACCGAGGTATTGCAACTCCGGTAAAGAAAGCGCTGCCCTTCAGGATCAAAGGGAAAAGTAAGTCAACACTTTGTTCAGGGCTTTTGTAGGAAACTTTATGTTCATGTCATATGTTATTTAAAAATAAACATGAGTGACGCTTCACCCAAAGATGAGCTTGGCTAAAATGGACAACGCCAAAACACAGTGTAGCCACACACACTAAGACTCACCGTGTTTTCTTATTTAATTCTTCATTTTTTACATTAACAGTATGTGACCTACCAAGGCTACTTTATTTTAATGCACGGCCGGACAGTGTTAGAACGCAGTTAGAAACAAAGTGCCTAGACTTTTACTGACACCTAGTGGAGACAGAGAGAAGAGCTGTAGAGTTTGGACTGGTGTGTGGGTTCATGCTCATGAGTTCAAATAAATCAAATGTATTAGGAGCTGCAAACATTTGCCTAAATACTTAATTGCTGCCTAAAAGGAATGAGAATAGTCTCTGCTTTATCTTTAGCGAATTACAGCACCTCTTTTAGCCGACTGGGAATTTTTCCACATAGTAAATGAATTGTTGGATTCAGTGATCTTCACCATCAGTATAATCTTCTGCAGAATGTGCATTTCCTCTCTGGGCTGCTGGTGCTTCTCAGGTTACATTTTATTTCCTCTGCTCACTGTGTGTACTGTTGTTAACTTGTCAACCCCCAGGATTCCAAATATTCAAGAAATATCTTTTGATGCTTCATGTGTTAAATGCAGAGACACTGTCCTACAATTCGAAAGCCACAGGTACGAAATTATATAAAAATTACTTCAGGGGATTTACTTTTTGAATTAAAGGTCTGATACTTCCAAGAATGAAGACTTTTCCATTAATTTTGAATGATTTATCGTGGTAAGTAAAAAAAAAAAGGTTTCAGTTTCTTGCAAACAGACACAGAAATTATATTACAATAGATAAATTTCAACTTTATTAATTAAGAAAAGGCTTATCCAGTGGTTATAAAATAGAGCATAGTCAATAGATTAAAGTTTAGAACAACAAAAAGACGACACAGGAAAAAAAATGTGACAGTGACGAAAGGCAAACAAAGAACAATACTGGTAATTGAAGAAATGTTAGATGCACAAATTGATAAAATAATTATATATCAGAATATCTGTGCTTTGTGCCTTACACTAAAGGGTAACGCAAGGATAAATTCATGAGTTTTAAGAGAGGATGTGTGGTAAACAACGTTTTACATTCATAGATATGGAGATCTTCATGAGGGACACTTGAAAGTTTTTTTTAACAATAAACTTTTTCAGTAGGAGGTGCAAACATTTTGGTGATAAAAGAAAACTTTCCGTACCCATCCACAGTTATACACATATATTACATTTGAGCTCAGTAAAGCTGACAGAAAGAGGATGACGCACCAGGAGGATCCACATTTAATAACAGAACCATCTCTTACTATTACTGCATCATTTAACCAAATCAGACAAGCGTCTCTTCTGTGATGTAAAACCTAAACATTCTCCCAAACTTAAAAAATAAAACACGTATTCAACGTCGACAATAAATAACATTTCTTTCAGTGCAAACCTACACAAAAAAATCAGAAACCACTAACTTGACTAACATTGCCAAAGAAAACTTGACGTGAACGCTCACTCAAATCAGGTTTTCAAAGCAAACCAGTTTCAATGTCTTGTTCAGTTGGAAAGCAAGACAAGACGCATTTGAATAATTTAAAAATACAATGAATTAATGTTTTTACTGATAAGATATCACTGTTTAAGAACAATATTACTTCATGAGAGGTCGGACAATCGACTGTTTGTGATGTTGAGTAAGAACACAGAGAGCCCAAGGTTTTCCATTTACCAATTAACTTAGATGAAACAGACCTTCCTCACCTGGCTTTGCTCAAATGTATCGTCATTATTGTTCATTCTTTTACTATCATGATCAATTGTATTTGCTTTATTGTTGATTGAATGTATTTGGACTTCGTTGGAACACTGCCTTTACAGAGGAATTCATCCTGTGTTGTCACGGTTTTGCCCTCAGAGATGTTCTCTGCATAGCTGGTGCTCAACAGCTTCAGGCATCAGGTGGCAACAGTTCATGGGTTTGTGTGTGTGTGTGTGTGTGTGTGTGTGTGTG